CGTTATGAGTTTTTGTTTTTGTCTGAAATAGGCAAGTAGGCTTTGTGTATTCATTTTTATTTTTATAGCGTTTCCAGAATTTCATATTTCGAAACGATGTCAAAGGCCGGCAGGGGAAAATCTTTCTCTATCGTCGTCATCCCTATATTGTATCCCCACCAGTCACCAGTCAAAACCCTTAACCACCAATATTTTATCACAATTTACAATTCTTTTTAGCTCTTATTTTTCAGTAATTACTAATAATTTTAGGTCTGTGTTTACAGTAATTGAATTATGCACCTCGGAGATGTAGAGATTAACATGTTTTACACATATCGGTGTTTTAGGATGGGGACGACCATACTGTTTTGATTGCCTTAAAGAAATTCATTAACCCATGAATTTATAACAAACGATTACTGTTATGATGTAAAGAGAGTTGAGGAATTGGTTGGAATACATTTTATATTCTATTTTCTTGCAAATCCGCACAATTCCACAGGTATGTGTAGCTATAATGATCTCATAATATACACACAGTATATCGAACTTAACAAATTTCGAGATTTTTATGAATTAACAAAAGACCAAACCTGCTGCCAAATTTAACAGCTAGAAAATCGACCTATTTTTTCTCCCATTCCCATTCGCTGAGGGGATAACGGATTGTTAAATGTAAACCTATAACATATATCAAAATACATGAAAGTTGTCCTGTTTTTTCTGTGCAAAAGCGTCATGTTGGAATCAAAAAGTGGTCTTGTTTATAATACAGTAGAATTTTTACGATTTTATTCAACATTTTAATAGAAATCACTGATATTCTAAGACATTTGACAGCTTCCGTCAAATTGCATTTCGATAAGGTATTTTCCTATTGGTCGATAATAATAATTTTGGTGAAATCGACCCTTAGTATACTTTTACATGCCTTACCAAGACAAACAGTTGCACCATCAGAACCAAAGCGTTCTAAAAAAGAATATAAAACTATTAGTAGCTTAATTCTGGAGTCAATCAAAGATGGAACTATTTGTCCTGTAATCCCAAGGGAAAATCAATTTCTCTCTAACATTTTCACCGTCCCTAATTCCCTCCTACATATTAATCATAAATCTAAAAAGATTCAATCACTTTGTACACACATCTCACTTTAAAATTGAAGATTACAGAACCGTTGCTCATCTAATCACACCTAATGCTTTCATAGCTACTATAGATTTAAAAAATGCATCTAGTGCCTATCAAAAAAGCTCATAGAAAATACCTAGGATTCAGTTTTAATAATCGCTTATATGAGTACAACTGTTCACCCTTTGGTTCAAGCTGTGCACCTTATATATTCACAAAAATTATGAAACCTGTAATGTCTTTCCTTAGGAAGAAAGGTTATTTACCGGTAATCAATTTAGACGATATTCTTCTCTTAGGAAGAAACAAAGAAGAGTGCGGAAATAATGTGAGAGAAACGTTGAGATTTTTAGAGCACTTAGGTTTTTTGATAAATTATGAATAAAGCAACTTGAATCCAAATCAGATATGTCGGTACCTATCTAAGTTTTCTGTATAATTCACAGAATCTGTCACTTTGCTTACCGGAAGATAAACAAATTAGAGTTTTTAAGCTTTTGAATAAGTTTCATTCATTAAAAGAATGTACAAGTCGTGAATTTTCGAAGTTCATTGGAACATTAGTATCAGTGGCACCTGCAATGAAATATAGCTTTCTGTATTTGAAATTATTCGAACGCCAAAAGTTTTTGGATTTGGCAAAGGCTAGAGGAAATTATGAGGCAAAAATGTCTATCCCCAAAAGCCTTTCTTCTGATTTTAGATGGTGGAGTAGTAGTGTAAAGAATTCTGCCAACTCAATCGACTCGAAAAAGTTCCAATTAGAAATATTTGCTGATACTTCGACATTCAATGATGACACCACCTACGGTTTTTGGTCAGAAGAGGAAAAATACTCTCATATCAATGAACTAGAACTATTAGCCTTATTTTTTGGTCTGAAATGCTACACAAAACATCTTCGAAATTGTAATATTTTATGCAGAATAGATAATACTACCGCAATATGCACCATCAATTGAATGGGAAGTGTTAAATATAGAAATCTGAATAATTTGGCAAGAAAAATCTGGACTTGGTGCCAGGATAGAAACTTATACATATTTGCCTCTTATATACCCTCAAAAGAAAACGTTCACGCAGACAAGGCATCAAGAGAGATTCATAAGGAAACATTTGAAAAAATAAAGAAAACATTTGATAACCCCACCATTGATCTCTTTGCTAGTCGCTTAAATAAAAAGTGTCCAACCTTTGTATCCTGGATGAGAGCTCCGGAAGCCTTTCAAGTCGATGCCTTCACATTAGATTGGTCAAAGTTTTACTTCTATGCATTCCCACCCTTTTCCTTGGTTTCAAAAGTACTGCAAAAAATTATCAAGGATAGGGCAAAGGGCATTGTGGTTATACCGATGTGGGTATCTCAACCCTGGTACCCCATTTTAAAAAAATTATTAGTTCAAGAACCCTTAATTTTCAAACCTAAAGAAGCCTTCCTTTCTTTCAGCGGGACTCCCCATCCCTTGTCAGACAGCCTTTTCCTGGCAGCAGGGAAGTTATCCGGGAAGCGCTACTACGAAGAGCCGTAGCTTAAGACTCTTTAGACATTTGCATATCATCCATTACCAACTCTACCTTAAAACAATACACCACCTGCTTAAAACTTTGGTGGTCATTCTGCAGTTCGAAACAATTAAATCCATTTAATGTCAATGTTCCAGATGTTATGGAATTTCTAACATATCATTTTGAAAATGGTGCTTCGTATGGAACACTCAACTGTCATCGATCTGCTATATCTCAAATAGATAGTCCTGAGTTAGGATCTGATATCAGCATAAAAAGATTTTTCAAGGGAATTTTTGGGTTGAGACCTCCTTTACCCAAATACGAGCATTCTTCGGATCCGGCTATTGTACTCAGTCATGTTAAAGATCTGGATGATGACGATATTCCACTTGAGCTTCTCACACAGAAATTGGCAATTTTATTGGCTCTTGCAACGGGTCAGAGGGTCGAGACCTTGAGTTTAATCAGCATTAAAAATATCAATATCCATCCTGAAAAAATCGAAATAAAAGTAACCGAAAGAATAAAGACATCCGCGACGAACAAATTACAACTTGTTCTTCCCTTCTTTCATGACGCAAAAATTTGCGTAGCGAAAACTCTCATAAAATACTTAGAAAAAACTAAAGAATTGAGAAATACGTGCGATTTTCTTTTTATTACATACAAAAAATCTCATCACCACGCAACATCTCAAACGATTAGCAGATGGAAAAAAATATTCTAAAAGCAAGTGGTCTTGATACCAACCAATTTAAATCTCATAGCACTCGACACGCTTCAACATCAGCAGCTGCTCGAGCAGAAGTCAGTTTTGACGCTATCCGATTCACAGCAGAATGGTCTCAGACATCTCAAACATTTGCTCGTTTCTATAACAGACCTATTTTAGATAACCAAGAATTTGCTAATGTTATATTAGGTTTAGGCAACAAAGATTAGTATAGCTAGTATACCTAAATCAGTCCATTTATCCACTTAGGGTTATGTTAGTTTGTTACTGGGGTACATGTTTCGTTTTTTGTCCCTTTTTTGTTTTCAAAATTAAATAAAAAGGACTAAAAGAGAGCTGTTGCAACTTTCTTTAAACATCTACACATCTTTATTTACGAGACGAGGCCTTCATATAATAATCAGATCAAACGAACTTACCTAAGTGATGTTCGATCTTGATTATATGAGGGCCTCGTCGAAGTAAATAAAGTCCCAATACCCACCCTAATTATCTACGATAGTTCCCCTAATGAGCTAGAGTTGCAACATTACCTTTAAAAAAGACTGAGAATTCCGGCGATGAGTACCAGCGCCGGAGATGCGAGGAGCGCAGGGAGGGGGTTTGTTTACTTTAAATAGTGTGGTCGTTCGGGGCGAAATCAAGGATATTACTCATCTTTATTTACTTCGACGAGGCCCTCATATAATCAAGATCGAACATCACTTAGGTAAGTTCGTTTGATCTGATTATTTTAAAATCATTTTCAATATTTCTACAACAAGCGGAACACCTTTTATGCAGACTGTAGACCTTAACTATCTCTGGAGTTACGCCTCTTTGTTTTGCCAGCGACGATATGTCTCCCAACTCGATTTTCTTTATAATGGATGTCTATCGACATAAATCAAGAGTTACCCGGGCGGTAACCCGGTATACATTTGGTTAAGCAGTTTCTTTGAACAAATTTCACAAAATTGGGTTTGTCGCTCTAGACCAGAGTTCCCCAAACTTTTTTGTGTCGTAGACCCCTTGCCATGTGTTTCCGTGTTGGGTAGACCCCCTACTTACCTGATATTGATTTCCTGTAAATTTCTAACGGTAGTGAAGTTTAGTGTTAAAAACTTAAAGTAAAAACACATGATAATTTATACATTTATTAATTGAATTTAAATTAAAACTACTCAAAATAAAATTTTGTATCTGTTATGTAAAATATACGTAACATTAAATAAACAGGTGTCTGACCAGTAAGTGGCCGCATTGGGAATAAGTGCCCGCATTGAAAAAAAATAAGAGGGATAAAATAAAAAAAAAAGTGAAAAATAATAAAAAAAAGTTTTTTACTTAAAATAGTACAATGAGCGAGTTCGTTTATTAATTATAACATAAAAGTATGTTCTACAATAATTTCACTGTTAGTTTGATTAAATTCCGCTTCTTATACGTTTAAGTTATCTAAAAATAGGCAAAAAATTAACGAATTTTAGTGTGTACCTATCCGTGAATTTTCAAAATAATTAAAAAAAAAAATATTTTCTATAAAGGGGGCTTCTTTAAAAAAATCAGTGCGGCACTTATTCCCAATGCGGGCATTTAATGGTCAGACACCAATAAACATAAAATAAACTATAAATAAAATAACATAAGCAATAAGTCAATATTTTTAGTGAGAAGGATGAACCTGATGCTTTAATAATAAATTATCAACATTTGGCGTCAATTTTGTAAGGGTTAATCTTAAATCTCCTCGGCTAATGATGTCCAGTCTGCTTCTTTTTTTCGTTAGGAGATTGGTAACAGCGCTGAACCCCCTTTCCACTAGGTATGACGATGGAAAGGAAATTAAAAATTTCCTCGCTATATTCCATAATACGGAATAAGTAACGGGTATGTTATTTTGCAGCCAGAATTGCTGATATCCGTTTTTAAACTGAACCTTAAGTTCTTCGTTTGTACTTAGTTCAGTCAGTTCCTCTTGTATTATGACATTCGTTTCTTCGATGTCACCATATGGATTAATTATCCACGGTGGTGTTACCATAGTCAAAATATCCTCAAACCTAGATTCAAAATCTGAATAGAGGGCATTTAAATGTTGAACGTAAGTTGAAACGTCGTCTTCCTGGCAGCTTGTCTGTGACAAATTGGGGAACTGAGAAAATTCGCCCCGTCCAATATTTTGCTTCATTAGTTTAACTCTGGCAAGAAACTCTGATAAGATGGACTTTGTTTTAATCAAATTTAAACTGTCGCCTTGTAATTGCGAATTAACCATATTAAATTTTGTAAACAAATCTGTTAAATAGGCGATGTCTGTTTTCCTTTTCATTAAATTTTCTTTTAAAGTTTTATCTTTAGTATCCAGAAATTCTAAAATAGTCTCAAAAAGTGCAAAAAATCTTGTCAAACATAAGCCTTTCGACAGCCAGCGTACTTCAGTGTGAAGGAGTAATTGATGAAAGTGTTCGTCATTTTCTTCACACAACTTCGCAAATAACCGCGTATTCAACGCGTTGCTTCGGATTCGGTTTACTGCATCAATGAATAAATGAAGTGATTCATGCAATTTAACACTTAAATTTTTAGCAACTAAATGTTGTCGATGGATGACGCAATGTACTGCTAACACCCCTGACACATTTTGTTTTAAATAGATTATAAGTCCACGATAACGTCCAACCATGGCAGTTGCTCCATCTGTAGCTACTGATATTATATTCGATAAAGGAATAGCTTTTTCAATGAAGTAATCCTTCAAAACATGAAATATTGATTCACCTTTACTGTCGATTATCAAAGTTCTTGCGAAGAGCAGTTCTTCGTAGATTTCTTGATTCATAATAAAACGAACATATGCCAATAATAATGCTGTATTATCTCGTCCAGTTGTATAGAGATATGGGTCGTTTGTAAATAAGTACATAAGAAGCTTGAAATATCAGAACTCATTTCATCAATACGTCTTTCAACAGTATTGTTGCGTAAGGGAATTCTTTTAATGATATCAGATGCAGGTTTGTGAAAAACAGTTTTTAAAACCTCTTCAACCGCTGGCAAAATTAACATCTCTCCAATAGTATGCGGTTTTCCGGATTTTGCTATAAGTAACGAGATATTGTAAGACGCCCGCAAACCATCATCATTTCTTTGTGTCGTCGAAGTGAACATCCTGTCCAGTGTAGGTCTCTTCTGAAATTTATCTTGGAGTGTTTGAAAGTATTTCAAATCTTTCTCTATTTTATCAGGGTGGCATCTTCTCAGATGATCTTGCAGTTTAGATGGTTTCATAGCGTCATTGCCCAAAACTTTGTTGCATAAAAGGCACATAGGCGATTGTTTGTCCGGCAATGATGGAATGAAGCCAAATTTCAAATAATCAACACTGTACTGTCTACATTTCTTTTTAGATTCGGACATGGCATCAGTCATCTGTGGGAAAAATTAAATTATTTAAATAAGACAGAAAATCCAGCTGCTGTATATATTAAAAATATGTTTGCTTTTCCGAAAACATTCCATAATTCGAACATCTTCTTGCAACAATTAGCTCGAATTACGGAGATTGCACTGTAATTATATTACCTATTGCTAAAACTTTCAAAAAGAAACTATTGAGGAGTACTCGTGTAATTTTGCATGATTGAATATTTAACTACTAATAACTAACGTCATGATTGGCGTAATTTATCTATCTTTGCTAACTACGAGTACAAAACTAAAATTTAATAAAAAATAATGTACTTACTTTTCTCCAGCACTCTCAAACAAAATAACACTGACTCACTATAAGTTGTGTGATAGACTATCTGTTTATATTTTTTAAAATATTTTCTTAGCACTTTCCTTTTCAAGATTCAGGAAACGAATAAACGTATTTGTCCCACATTCGTATTTATAGAGTGACGAATTGAATAAGTCAGTGCAAGGTAGCGAAGCTCTCAGACTGCGACTCTCAGGTTTTTACAAGTTCAAAATGTATTGCGACCACAAAGCGAATACCAACATCCTACAACTTACACAATTTTATAAACATATATAATAAATTTTCTACTTCATAGGTACTTTTATAAATACTGTATATGTTTTGATATTATAAGATAGTATGATGTAAGTAAATAGGTACTATCAGTGTATGTGTTGAGATCCACTATCGTGGATCCCCATATTCATTTCATGGACCCCCACATTTTTTTAGCTGACGTAGACCCCTTGTAGGTTGTCACAGACCGCTAGGGGTCGATATAGACCACTTTGGGAATCAATGCCTCTAGACGAAGATTTGCTCTAAACAAAAAAGATCATTAGTAAGGTTTCTCTAAAGTTGACCGTAATTGAGGTATAGGCAATTTAATGCCTGAGAAAGCCAAAAAATTATCATTTTTGAGGTGTAATCACGATCCTTGTTCTACAAGACTCCATGGAGTATTTTGAGTGTGATTAAATTTAGAGCAATTTTCAACATTACTTGGTAGACTAAAAAGTGGCGATCGTTTTGACTTAAACAGAATATGCATATAAACGTTACACAATGTTCCACGTTTCGTTAAAAAATCGAATTATGTCAAACAACCCAGGGATATTAGTCACTATTATGCAATACGTGAGAAGTTCTCTGTCGACATGCCGCTAGTTCTCTCTCAGGGATCCAGGTGAAAATGAAGCATATTTATCAATTCTTGCCGGTAATAGGATCGCAAATTCCTGGTAATTCCGTGCATCCGGTCTAACTCCGTAGATTAACTTCTCGCCCGCACGGCGCGGCGTCCCGTCCGACGATTGCTAAGTTCTTTTTAATAACAGGAGAGGCGGCTTGTGTCGTATTTCGAGCTCCGAGACCGATTCCGAGAGATTTATTATCGCCTTGTATCCAGTCATCGTTGCCGTGTCGATGGAAAGCGGTTAAGGCACGCTCGTACATCCAGTTACGTAAATTCGGAAGTGTCTGTTCGAGAAAAACAAGAGTCAAAACCTTCTGAGCATTCACGTAGCGTATGGTGTCCATATTAGAAACATTGAATTAACAGAAAGGGTTCAACATAAAATAACACGAATTCCAACAAGGAAACCTATGATTAAGGTGGCTCCGACGCAGTGAGTTTCAAGCCATTTACAAAGCTTCAGCTGCTTCGGAACTGACACGGCATTTTTCAAAATTTGTGGCTAAATTCTTACAGTATGTTCAGAAGAAGCCCAGGGTGCTATCAGAGCACTTTTTGAAATTTTGTTTTTGCAAAAGATTTATGGTGGGTTGAAATGCTTACTTTTCTTTGTTAAACTTGAAAATAAAAAGCTGGCTTGATAGCACCATGTAGGGTCTTGTTTTCATCACACTGTGAAAATTTCATTCGAAGATATTACAAAATGAAGCGTCAGAGCTTGCACGAATTTTTTCTACTGCTTCGTGCTGCCATGCCAGCCTAAGCGGTTAAATGCAATAACCAATATTTTAAGACAAGCAAAGCATAGTTTAAAAGGTTTTATCAACTTTTCAAACAGAATATGTAGATCTAGTACAAACTCTGAGTAAATCAGTCGACTCTGACTGATATTTATTTCAGAGATTTTCGAATTGCTGTATGACACCTGCAGATAACATCAAGATATTAACCAAAGACAATATGGACGATGCCATGATTATACATAATCACCCGCTATACTGGGTAAAATTACATTCCTCTATTGAAAATCAAATAGGGCAAACTAGAGTAAATCGTACAGACTTTTAAATTTTTGACCACTGTACTCAAAAATTAAACTCTTTATTGATAATATTAGTAGACAAGCACAAATAAACATTTAGCTTTCTATGAATCAAAAGTTCAACTGAATTGAACATCTTAAGCAAAAAAAATACAAAAATATAAGGGCTTGCAAGTGGTACGATTAAGCGAATAGGTTGGTTTAATCATACCCTTGGTTTTTAAATCGTATCACTAATTTGATATTTACAGTTCTCACACACATATTTTTTTTAATTTTTTTTTTGGTTCCTGCACATGATGTGCGGGCCCATTTTTCATATTTAATACATCTCACCATATCTTCCATAATGTTCTCTTCACATATAAAGCAGTACCAATCAGCAGGATCATATTCAATTTGAGCCTTCATCTCGGCAGATTTTGAAGTGGAAGATCAACCATCACGTGCTTCAAAAAGAAAAGTAGAACAAAGCTCAAGATTTTTTGTTTACTTTTTTGGTTGATTCTTGCCTTTGGTTACGTTTGCTTTCAAATTCATCCTTATATGGCGTGGTGCTTAGAATGACGGCCGAAAATTTTCGTCTCTTAGCGTAACCTTTATTCTCGGGTAGAGGGTAAATTTCTTCAATAGAGGTATTGAGATCTGTTGTGTTGCAATTTTTGTTTAGTTCAATACTATCACTGTGAACTGGTGGCTCAGTAGCATCGTTTTTAGGCTCAGGAGTCGTTTCACGTAGATTTTCGGCCTCTAAGTCCTCACTTGCTTTTTCTTAATCATTTTCAAGCAATAAAATCTGTCTCAGAAAATACAGAGCGGTCAACGGGCCATATTCCAATTCTTCTGAAATCACTCATGATAGTGCTTATTGATGCTGTTTTTGCATAGGCATCAGAGAGCAATTGAGTTATGTTGTATTGAGAAACAGTGTTACCAGGATTGCTTCTTAAAAATGTTTTTAGCCCTTGAGAAAAATAGGATTCCGTAGGCTTAAAAAAGCTCACGTCTAACGGCTACAACTAATTTGCAGTATGGCCAGGAAGTTCCAGTAATACAATTCCATGAGATTTTGCTAAAATGAGTGCCTCTAGATTTTTTGAGTGCGTTGTGTGGCCATCTAGTAAAAGTAAAACTTTTTTTTCGGTACTTGCTTTTACGTACTCAATGAAGTGCTGTAACCATTTAACAAAAAGTTCACTATTTATATATACAATAACTGAAATTGTAACAATAGTGCCAGGTACTGTACCTATGGTAAGCTCTGGAGCCATACGTTTTCTCTTAAAGTTATTATGGGCGGTACTGTTTACTCGGCAGCACTGGCACAAACGACAACAGTGGTATTTACGCCTTGCTATACCTCCAACTTGGTGCTTTCCTCTACGTGCGATTATTTTTTAATTCCGTTTCTGAACTGATGAAAATCCACTTTCATCAACATTATAAATTTCTTGAGACGTAGAACCGTTTTCTTCAGCACCTTTTCATAAAATATCGAAAAACTCATGGACGTTTTTTTGGTTGAATCCAGTTGCTCTGGCCATGGAGATTTTCTCTGGTTGTCTACAGGATGTCGGCCCATAAAAGAATAATACCATCCTTTTCCCGCCATTTCCTTATTGATATTGAAACGGTGTACAATATCATTCCGAACAGCTGTTTGGAAATCCAATCGTTGAACATCCCGAATTGTTACACCAAAAAATCCTTCTTCCAGCTTTAAAATATGTTTTGTCAATTCCATTTTAATTTCAGGGCTAAAAGTCCCAAAGACTGAACACTTCCATTTGCCTTTTTATTTAACACGTTGACTGCCGTAATACTAAAGAAAAATCGGTCCCTGGGGCCACCTTTTTTTTTTCTTCCAAATACTAGTTTCAGTATTCTAGAACACCCTAGCGTGTTTTGTGTTCCCAAAAAAAATTTTATTCATATTCTTTTTCACGTTTCTTGATGAGACCCACCGCATGGTCACGCGGCCTCAACATATGAAGTTTTACCCAATGGCCGCGTGCAACAAATGTTGTGTCTCACCGACTTGTATCGACCTGTCGACCGGTGCGAGCCGAACAATGTATTAGAAGCGAGTGCTATCAGTGATGTCTCAGTCTAGTTTCTGCGGTGTTCATCAGATGTGCTCCAGTCTTCCTAAGAAGCTATAAAACTTGTGTAGAGGGTCAATCTTCATCCCAAAAAGTAGTGCTCACTCTTGCAAAGGACTTGTTTGACAAGGGACGGACAATTTATACGAACAATTATTATACAAGTATCGAGTTGGCAAGTGCATTACTTGCAAGGAACACTCACTTGGTTGGGACTCTCCGATCCAATCGAAAAATGAATCCTAAACAAGTTGTTGATAAAAAGCTCAAAAAAGGAGAAACTGGGGCAGCTGAAAGCAACTCAGGTATAATTATCCAGAAGTGGAAGGACAAAAGAGATGTGCTTACCTTATCCACAAAACACACCGATGAGTTACTAATCATCAGATCTGGCAATAATAAAGAATTGCAAAAACCTGCTGCTGTGGTTGACTACAACAAACATAAAGCCTATATTGATTGTCGGATCAAATGAGGTCTTATACCACCTCATTACGCAGAGGGGTGAAGTGGTACCGCAAGCTGGCCATTGAGCTTCTTATTGGTAGTGCATTAGTAAATGCACATGTTTTGCACCAAGAAGTAGCCAACGAAAAAATGTCCATCACAAAATTCAAGCAGGAAATCGTAAACAGACTCTTAGGCTTTGACCTTGATCAGCATACGCATTTTTAAGATCATCAACATTCTTTGGAAGATGTTGGTACCAACAACCGACGTCGATGCGCTTTTTGTTATGAAAAACTTCAAGGAGAATCTGGGCGAGCACATGCTCAAAGAAAAACTCAGCGAACAAAACTAAAGTGCACGGCATGTGAAACATATTTTTGCATTGAGTGTTTTTTCCAGGTACATAAGTGCACAAAATAATTGTTGTTTTTATTATACATTTTCATGTTTTTTGTTCTATATTTATGAGAAATATATTTTTTGTTGTATTCCACTTCAGAAGGAGGTTCCTTTTTTAATACCTTTCGTTTTATTATCTACGTATATATCAGGCTATGAGTAACCACTTATAGGTCACGGATCCAAAAACCAAAAACAGTTTTAGACATTTACAGCCGTGATCTTTCAGTCCCATATTACTTATATAGGACTGAGACAACCACCCAGGCTCACACGGCTATATTACAGAATTTCTGACGAGACAACTAAGGTGTGTCACTCGGCTGTTATCGAAAACAACCTGAGACGCCATATTTGTGTCTCACGGCAGCCAACGTGTTAAAGAGCGCAAGTGCCTTCTAAAAGTCGGCTTTGGAATGTTATAATGTCTGCAGCGCTCATTAAAACCACACTGGTTTTGTTTGTATTCATTAATCGCATGGTCCATATCTTCTGAGGTCCGTCGACAGTATTCCCATTTTTTTATTTTCTTATTTCTTACTTTACTCATCTTCTTTTTTAAAAACCTGTAATAAAAGCTTCGTTGCAAATCGAAGCAAAGAGCCTCAGTTGGGTAAATCGTACCGGTACGATATACAAAACTGTGGGTGGTACGATATACAGAACAAGCACGAATTTATGTTCATCAATTAAATTTCACCCTAAATAAACCCTTTTTCAATTAATTATCACAGCAACAACTGACAACATGCCCATAAAATACGATATACCTTAATAATATCTACTTACTAAATGTAAAAAAAAGCTTATGAATAGGAGCAAAAAATTACAGTAGTAGATCATTATTTCAAAAATGGTGGTGGTACGATTTACCCGGCGGTACGCTTTATCCGAATTTACCCTAACTACGTTTCAGTCTGATACTACAGGTATAAAATGATAAACGCTAGTGTAGTTGTATCTAAATATAGGATTTGCGGAAGACTTAACTCAGATAAGTTCAGTTTTTCATCTTAAAAATGTACACAGATCACTATTAAAATATGAATCAAATACGAAGTCCGTAGAAATTCCGCAACTATTTTGTACGATAATCGTAACAAAATTTGCTGCGCAAGTAATTTGATAGCCCTATATCACAGTATAGAAGTTTATCATATACCTACCTGTATATGAAATGTAATGTGTTAAACATATATCCTTTACTTCGCCTATACAATACATAACAAATAGCTTGGTTGCAATAAAGTAGAATCATCTAACAGAGTGGTTGAATAGTTGACAAAAATTGAATCTTGCGCTGACGCAAACGTTCCGTGGCGGCTGCAAGAGGTTTACACTTGTATAACTGTTACCTGCAGCCTTCATACAACCTCTTGAATTACTGAAATTTCCTACTAAGCGCGCCCATCGCGCTTGTACAGCTGTTCTAACAGAGTTTTGCCAAGCTTTCTTGTAACATAGAATGCTGAGGAGTTGCCAAATTGACCAAATTGCACGAAACAAGTGTCGATGGTTTGTGTAAAGAGAGTTCCAAAGTCAAACATTTTCATCACGTTATGAATTCCTGACAGGTAACAGCCCCGACAGGTTTAGCAAAATGTTGTAATGTTTCGAATACGTAACAGATGATTATATAAATTTTAAAACGAGGTCGTATTTTTCCATTCCATCTGTGTTCTCAGTTGCCACTGGTCACAACACTTTTCCGCTTACTCAAATATCTGCCTTCTGACTTGTCTCCATAACTTACTAATATTCTGACTCAACTAGCTGGATGCAAATCATACAAACATTTACATTAACTAACATGAGTTGTTGCGATGCAGTCGGGTGATATATATCACGTTACATAAATACACATTAATGATGTACGTTAACGTAGATCGCTCGTGCGTTTACCGTAAATAGAGCGAAATAATTTTGAAGCTTAATTGCACTAATATCATCCCTACTAGTTTGTATCATGTTACATTTAATTGAGTTCGGGCAATTATCTTATACTACATACAAGTTTTCGTTATTTTTTTCATTTTGAAATTACATACCCGGTTCTAACCTGGAATCGTTTTAACCTTGAGAAAGAATGGCTGGTGCTTGATCAGACTTTAATAGAATGAGCGAATAGTAAATGAGATTATCGTTAATCATATGGAGGAAAAATGAGTATACTTTTTGCAAAGTTTTCTAGTTAAAATTTATAAAATAAGAATATCAATATATAGATCTAGAAACTTATTCAATATTATTACAGTTTTGCCGGACATGTAGGAAGGACTACCACATGTGTTAAATACAATACAAGGTTAAAGGCGTAGAAACGAGAAAAATTTCCAAGAATTAGGAGAAAACACTGCAGCAATGAACAAACGTGAAACACTTTCAAGATGCCCAGAGATAGTAGAAAGTTCGAACAAAGCCTGCAAAGCTTTTCGTAGATGACAAGGTTAACAGAGAGCAAGACATGTCAGCCTTACGACAACCGCTTAAGGCCAAGAAATGGTAGACATTTTAGAGGTCAATGCTCACCTTAGGGCGTTGCCAAGTTGTAGTGACTAGAACCTTTAAGACCCTGCTAAAGCGCATAGTTACATAATTCCAGAAGGCAGTCATTTCTGGGACTATTGACTCAACTTCTGGCCCCTGTTCTACTTTTTCCTTGCTGCAGTGGTATGTAATTTTATGTCCACTAGAACTGCGACTGGTAGTCCTACCTGTAGTCGTTTCGTCACGTGACAGCGCACTTTTAGACATGTTTGTCCTGTTGGAATTACGTAACTGGTTCTAGTCCGTTTAAGCACTGAAAAGGGCCTAAAAGTGACTTTTTAGACCCTGCTACAATTCTCACGTGTGTCACAATTCATTTGTATTCTGTGAAAGAGGTATCAAACAGGAAGACTAGGTCGCAAATTACTGAGAATGGGCACTAGTAAATGAGATTTTCAGTATTGATATGGTGAAAAAATGAGTATTCCTCTTTCCGAAGTTATCTAGTAGGGACTTAATAGGAATATCGGCATATAAATATATCAATTTATTTAATGATGTTACACTTCTGTAGGACATCCAAAAAGAAGCACCACATTCATTGTATAAAATAGAACGATGAAGGCCTTGAAGCATAAAGCATAGAGTCTGTTCCAGCAATTCATGCAAAGTGCTCCACAGTTTCCAGTACCAGGTATTCCGCCATTGTTGCTGTTTGATGGAGGTAATGTTTTGTATTGTCCACCTTTCATACTCATGAATTAAGCAGAATCGTTCATATGCTGTACCGTTCATAAATATTTACTTTTTTTATTTGACTCGTCTAATTTATCCCTGTTTATTCAATATCTGGGTGATTCACATCGCAACACAGATAGTGTTTCTGCCGTACTCCATGTGAGTACACGCAGTACATATAGCCACTTGAATCTTCTTTCCAGAGAAAATAATTTATTTGAGCCAATGTAATGACTTGTGTTTGGTGGGCAATGGTAGTGAAATTAGTCAAAGGTATGCACTAAAAGGACACAACTTTCTTCTAATCTGTCCGAACTCGTTGGCCTGCCTAGGTAGACAAGCAATGAATAGTACCAATGTAGTCACCCATGATAAATCATCTCGAGGAATCAGCAGTAAAAGTTGTTGATTTTCATGATGGTATATTGTGATACAGCCTAATTAGTGCAAATTGTTCAAAGGTATTTAAAACATGTACGCATAAAATGGGTACACCAATTTTTGCAGGAAAACTTTTTATTTGATAACGTGATATTTGGGATTCAATCTGAAGTGTTGACAGAAACGAAAAAAAAATTTCTTGTAAGATTTTTCGATATTTATGAGACCTGCAAAATGAGACCACACGTAAAACGATCTGACTAACACCAGAAATTTTATGACCGAAAAGCGAGGCAAAATGCAAGTAATGAGACGATCATTTCACGCAACTACTTGAAATTATTCAAATACAACATTTCTAATTGTTTATCCCAAAACACCTGTCTGCTTATCATCACTAATAGTTTATTGGGCAATATACAGGGTTCGTTCAAAGGTCATTTAATAGCAAAAAAACACGTGTTCACCTTGCCGATATGAATCACAAACCATTCCGGAAGATGAACGTCATTTTCACGCACAAAACGAAGGCTACGCTTATTTTTTCTAAGCAAATTCACACATTTCGTATTTGTGAGTAATTGTACAAGTGCGCTACTATATACAGGGTGACTTCGAAGTTGAGTCATTTATTTTAACAGTGAGTAGATCTGATCAAAAGAAATGTTTTTTCCTTTAACATTTTTGTGGTAAAATTAAAGTAACAAAGTTATAGCCCTTTAGAGGTTTGAGTACCGCCCTGTCTCAATAATAATATTATGTGCTCGTGTTTGGCAACAACGGATATAACCGCCTTATCGGTTCATCGCATCGGAAACAAAAAAGCGAAAGAATTTGAAACGCTGATCACGATGTTTTTATTCAGTCAATGTGTCAGTCGGTAACGCGTGAGTGAATAGTGGTGTTTGCTGCGTGGCTCAAACGAAATAAAAAATGGCACATGTTTATGCGGATCGGTTTCCCAATCGAGTGCAACCAACCCCTCGTGCCTTTGTTAATGTAGTACAACGGGCTCGTGAATCAGGTGACTTAAGACCTCACAGGGGAGGGCATGCCGGTGCTCCAAGACCTCACGATCAAATACAGGTCCGCACTGAAATACTTGTCGGAAGGATACCTTCTAAAACAAGGTATTTTTTTTTTAATTTTTATTTAATTTTTACACACATATTTGGTTTATCTACCTTCTACAATCATTATCTGAAAATTAATGACTCAACTTCAAAGTCACCCTGTATATTCTAAAAAGATACGCTACTGAACACATTTTAAAACAAGGCGGATGTGTGTATCATCTCTTGTTGCGAATTACTCACAAATACGAAATGTTTGAATTTGTTTAGAAGAACCCATCCTTTTTTGCATAAAAATAACATTTATCTTCCGGAGTGGTTTGCGATTCATATCGGCAATGTAAACTAGTGAATTTGGCTATAAAATCCCCCTTGAACTAACCCTGCATATTGCTCAATAAACAAGTAGTGATGGACGGAAGACAGTTGCTTTGGGATAAACAATTAGAAATTCTCAAAAACTACTTGACCAATCTACCCCAATTTTGTTGTGGTTATTTAGGACACGGATCCTACGAATTTGAAGAATTTTTAATATCTTCGAGAAATCATCGTCGCATTATCAAGAAGTGTCAAAACCTGCATTTTGCCTTGCTTTTCGGCCATAGCATTTGTGCTCTCATTTTGTGTGTCTCATAAATACCTAAAAATCCCGTATGTAGAGTTCTTTCGTTCCTGCCAACACTTTCGATTCAATGCCAAAACACACATTTTCTCATTATTTGTTGTCGTTTCCCTACAAACATAGGCGTATCCATTTTATGTGTCCATGTTTTGAATATCCCATTGAACAACTTGCAAAAATATAATAAAATCTTACAATTATCTCGCTAACCAGGGGTATTTTCGTCTAATAGATTGGACTAAGTCGCCAAATTTAGCTTTGCATGTATACGTATGTATTCATTTGCGACCCTTCAGCAGTTGCAGAGTCTAAACTTTTTTCTAAGAAATTTAGCAGAATCTGAATGTGTTTCTAAGCTACAGACTTTGCATCCCTTATCAAATCATAGTTTTTTTAGATGAATGTGTAGGTGCTCTCAAGTACATGCTCACCATAAATATGATATCTATGAAGAACAAATCAACTATAATGTCCATACCTCAAAAGGTTTTCACCTTGGTCTAACAGAGACAATCGGCATAATATTTAATAAATACATAATACAATACGCAATGTAAACAGTAAAAGAACCCGTAAATGAGTCACAAAACTGGGAAACTATTCAATTCTGCTTATGTATGCCATCCCTACTTCTTTGACGTACTCGACCTTGTCTTTTGTCTTATTCTCCCTCTACTTTGAAAGTTCTACTACGCAATTATAAGTTGTTGAGAATACATCAAACGGTATAAAGTCACCTGTTACAGGGAAAACCTTATCTTTATAAATTTCCCTCTGAGGCACTGTCATATATACATCGCAGAAGTGCTTCATATGTTGAGTGTGAGGAGATATAAGCAGTGCTTGTAAAACTTCTGCTTCAGGCAAGTACTGAAAGTATGGACTGTGATTTTTTGACAATCGTCGCGTGACTGTGCTTGACATACGTGACAGACTCGATTCTCTGGATGAACTACCACTGCTCAGAATGCTTTCTCTAGTTATCTTCATTTTGCTTTCCAATTCGTCCTTGGATCCTTCTGCATTGACTGAATCAGGATCATCCGTGTTTCGCTTCATATAAGCTTGTATTAGGTCATATACCTGTCTTAAACATTCATACAATATACGACCTGTTTCCTCCATAGTATAAATTTCTTCTAAAGGGTTTAGTAATTTAGGGGGAATCCCATAGAACACAATCCATTCTTTGCATAGTCTCCTTAAGACATGAGAAACTTGGATAAGACACTTCATTTCACCTATGCCCTTTGCAGCACCATATTTCTTCAAGAAATATCCTACGTGTTGGTTTATCGCATCTTCGGAACCTTCCACCACGTGAATGAAGTATGTATTATAAACCAATAAGAAACCAGTTAGCTCGCCTGTGCTGGAAAGCCCATTCACGGTACTTATGCTACTTCCAAACATGCCAGGTAGATTGCATAATGTGTTATGGGACCCTATGTAGACTAACCTGTGCAAATGTGTAATCCGCTCGCTCATTTTGAGGTTTTCCTGAATTCGGTCGAACAACATTCTCCTCTCCGGTTCGTAGTGCGTAAAATCTCTATCTGTTTTGGTTTCCTTCTCCTTCTTCTTAAACCTAGGATAATTCTCCACAACCTCCTTTTGCATGTTTCTGATGCCGCTTTCAAATCTGTCAAAATATTTTTTGACAGAAGTATGTCGTAGTTTACATTTGACAAGCAGTCTAATCATCGCTATTCTTCGTTGTCTATCAGAGCGGTCCGTAGGACCTTTTTTTTTTGGTTAGCGTCAGTTTAAGGGGTGCCTTGGCATTGCTAATTAGTATTCGGCAATTTTAAGTTGATCCTAAATTTAATTTAGAGATTGATTTAAGTACATTTTTAGTAGTTCTGAACTAAATGGCTTCAAAGTTTACTTGAATTTGAACATTCCAGGAATAAATTTATCAAAGTATGTTACTATATTAAGTTTATTTAAATGCCAATAAGACATTTTCTTGATTTTGCTTCTTTATTGTCATTTTTGTAAAAATATACTTGAATCATTATACATGTTACAAAAATTATGTTGGCAACATGATTCCAGTGCAACAGCATACTAAACCAAACATTACTTAAAAATAATCTATAACAAAATTTCTTATTCATAATCAGAATCTAATATTTGGATGTCTCTCTTCATCATTTTCTTTATCTGAGTCAGCTGGTCTTGGTTGGGGTTCATCTATATCAGGTAGTTTTTGGCTTGATGTCAGGGTCTGTGTTTGTTCCTTTTTTCCTTGTCTTGTTAATGCTTTCCCATCGGGCCTCATGTTTTTATAAAATGTATCGTGAATGGGCGGAATGTATTCCAATAAGCTAAGCAAGTTTTTGTACTTGGCGACTGTAATCTTTATTGAAGTGCCATTCAGTATTGAAAAGTTAAAACACGGACGCCCAACTTTTGAGGTTGCCATTAAGCAACTGCTAAACTCTACATCAATGTTTAGGGTACTCTTGTATCAAAATGTTAGTCTTTCACTTTTATAGTAAGCAAACCAGCAAATTTCTTTTTATTTTAAGGCGAAAAAGAGTAAAAATCGTCTTTGTTCATATTTTAAACAATAAATTTGGCCGATGTGCCTCTTATTACAGTCTCCCAATCTGCAGGACAAAAACTTGAGGGATTTTTCTTCTCGATTAAGCCAAAACTACGGTCACATTCCATGAGAGATGGCGCTAGGGAACGTTGCCTGCATTTAAATCATTTTACCACCAAGTTAGGACACGCTCTAGGTATCATATTCTGCACTTAGACCATTTAATTAAAAAAGTGCACTTGAACCTTTTTACTTCCAAACCCTTCAATTATAATTTTGGTTGGACCTAAAGTCGCACGATTTAATTTTGTTAACAGTGCGAGAGAGACTGTGTAGACTACTGACCCGCGCAACAAAATGTTGCTATGCGATTCCACTTGACTATAACGTAGCTGGGCGTGTTGTAGGTAAGGATGTCAAGGTCTCTGCGAAACTGTACCATGGGGCGTTAGTGACTGTACGGCAGTTTTATCATATTGGGATAATTTTAACAAACTCCCGTAGTAGTCTAAGATCCAAATTAGAAGCGACCTTGACCCACGTGTTTAATAGAGCAAAAGTATTTTATACCAAATTTAGCAAGTTAAATAATATATCGCGAGCGGATTGGCTAAAAAATTCCTGGAGAGACTATGATTAATTAAAAATTGAAAAATGACTAAAAGTTGCAGTAATCAGTTTAACGAATAAGTTTAATACCAACCGAAAGTATGAAGCTTACAGAATATGCAAAAATGTTGGGTTGTCTATTTTTTCCTGGCGTAACTACTAGGTGGGTAGGTATAAACAGGTTTGTTGATAGCAGTGTGTTATACAAATGAATCTTATATCAAAACAAGCAACTTTGCATTGTAAACACGAAGATATAGTCTGCAAAAAACTGGCTTAAATGGTGGTTGGCAAGTTTTTAAGAGTGAAATTTTGATGTGAGTGGAGACTTGCGACAAAGAGTTCTGAGATTCGTATCCTGTGTGATAGAAGAGGGATGCAAGGAATTTAGCTTTACCTTTTTGGTGTGACTAATATAGAAATATAAAAGAAAAACTCAGCACACAAAGTTGTTTATTGTAACTCTCTGAACAGTGCGGTAGGCCAGAGTTTGGGTTCTGCCATTTGCTGTGAAATAGTAGGTACTTTATGTAATTCAACTCTTATTTATGGGAGACCAAGTTGTTTAAATGACGGAAAATGATGAATTTACAGAATTCGAGGATCAACATTTGACGTCCGATATTAATCGGTACTTAGTATACATTATTACAATTTTTGTATTAATGTTATGTTGGTACAAACCTTTCTTTACTTAGTGTATTCATTTTGTTATTTTCTTTAATTTTAATTTTTTGACTGTCCACGTTGTTTATCTAATTTATTTTCCTGGAGAAACAAAAGATTCAAGATAAGTCTAGCTGTAGCCACCGTTTTTGGGGGGTTAAAGTAAGTTACGTATGAGTGTCCTTCAATTATATTTGTCAGACGGACAACTTACTTGACATTGGCGTGCAATCTGAGTTGTCATGTTATCAGTATTCAATATAAAATTGAATGACCGAAAATACGATCAATGGAGGAAGCCGTGCTAAATATAATAGAGTATTACCAGAAAGATAATGAAAACTGCGGTCCCCTGTTACCCACTTCATGCGTACTGCAGAGAGTAGCAGATGCGCTGAGGATTAGTCTGCACAGGGTTCAGCGAATAAAATCAGAAAATAAGAAAGGTTTGCCGATAATAACACCTGAGAAAACTCACAAAAACAAAAAAAGGAAGACCGATGATGTAAGTGATGCAGTCAAAACAGAAATTATTGATAGTTTCTACGATATGCGAAGTAAAGGACAACATATCACGACCTCCCTCTTTAAGTTTAAGGCGTCTATTGAAAGCTTGGGGTTTTTCCTACAAGATAGAAGATAACCGCCGACTCTTGTGTGAAAAATCAGACATTGTTTCCAAACTCACCTATATTTTGAGACATTATATGATTAAATTGAATAGTACAAGCCCTCTCCAATGCATTTTCTTAGATGAAACGTGGATATTTGCCAAAGGGTCATTTAAACGAGTTTGCCAAGATAACAACATAAAGAGCTTGGAAAGCGGCCATCAGGGTACCGGCAAGCGGTATGTTGTTCTTCATGCTGGACCAAAAACGGTTTTTTGAGAGATACTGCATTGTTATTTATCACAAAATCAAAAAGTGCTGACTACCACGACAAAAATTCTCTCAAAAAATGGGTATGCGAGAAGCTGACACCAGCGTTACCAGAGCTATCTTTAGTGATCATGAATAAAGCCTGTTATTATAGTGCCTTAACAGGAAAAATGTCCAATTCTAGGATTAAAGCAAGGGCTGCAAGACAGAAAGGTACATTCTGATGATGATGCTTTTAAACTCGAGCTTTTAAATCTATGTCGCCTGAATAAACCATCGGCTCCATGATACACGTAAATCATTGAGGAAATATTACATAAACATGCACATCAAGTTTTGCGGCTCCCCCCTTACCGTTGTCAGTATAACCCTATTGAGTTAATCTAGAGTATAGCCAAACAGTATCATGATTGTCATACCGGGGAAAATGGCTATGGTCTCAAGGAAGTTTTGGAAGTCTAAGACGATGCTCTAGCGAAAGTGACTCCTACAGTTTGGGCCAAGTGTGTGCAACATAGCCCGGACTAGATTAAAAACGCCTGGGACAAGCATCAAGTGTTTAATAGGGAGGAGACTAGTCATTCACTTGGGAGAAAGCTCAGATGACTCCGGTGAAAAAATCCAATAATTCATACTTTTATAAGCTTGATTCTTATTAAGGCGACATGGATTTAAAAGCTCGAGTTTAAGAGCATCATCATCAAAATGTATTCTTCTGTCTAGCAGTAACTTATTTAGTCGCATTTCAGTCCAGGAAGAATTGGGTATTTATATTGTTAAAGATGGTTCTTCTAAAGTTCTCATAAGCTTGTCACATATCCACATCCAATGATAAATGTCCCACCAGGTAAATTGTGTATGTATTTTTAATTTAACTTAAAAAAATATCAAATGGCGTGTAATACTCTACTTATGTTTATGTGCTAGATTAGAAGATTTTTGAGAATTACTGTTAGAAATTTTGAATCGGTTTCCATCAGTTAGGAAAATTAAGATCCGCCCATGGTACGGAGACTCGATCTGTTTTCTTATTTCATATGGTGTTGATCATGTAACCGCCAAGAACGGTGACTACAACATATATATATATAGTTGGATACTTCGACAAAACTCAAGCAATGAGGACTCTATACTTTATTAGCCTCCAGCTTTCAATAGACTAAGCCATCATCATCAGGAGCTGCAATAACATTAAGAAGAAATAGCAACTAGTGTGCAAAATGATTTTAAATTACTTACAATGGCATATGAGATTGTTGCTAAATGTTATTAAATGTTAGGTTGAGGAAAACGTTTAGTAACCTGGTGAAAGCTGGATACACGGTACATTCGTTAAAATTATTACAAAATACACACAGCTGTGTGTAAGGAACATATCAAAACGAATCAAAAATATTTGGAACAAAATTATTACATGTTACATCATAAGTAGAACGAAATGTTTAAATACATTGGACATGCTCTACCCCATGCTAGTATACCATATATTAAGTGCGGCTCAATTAGGGCATGATATATAGTACGCATATAATTTTCTGTGAATATGCCTGTGAGGGATTTAATTTTGTATCTAACAAATCTTACTTTCTTCAAAATATAGGCTGCATGAATGTCCCACTTAAAATGTTGGTCTAAAAAATTCCTAAATAATATAATTGATACTGTCCTCACAATTTTTAAATTTGTATTGTCTATCTTAAAGGAATTATAGTCTTGAATAATCGGGTAGATGTCTTGCGTATGCGTTGAAAATATAAACGATTTTATAAAAGTTATTCTCAATTATTCTCCTTACATCATCATACCAGTCTTGACATTTATATAGTATTACCATAAGATCAGCAAAACTAACTATTTCACCTTCAGTTAATTTTGAATATTCATATAGATATTAAATAAAAGAGTGAATAACACTGTACCCCGACGTACACCATA